AGGAGTCGGGCATGAGAAAATGTACCAGAACTAAAAACAACAAAACAATAAAGCCCAAAAAAGACAAAACTCTCACCTTAATCATTTATAAGACATAGTTAAGAAACAATATTTTTACACATTTCTGACTTACATCTCAACGAAAAATATACGACTTACAGACATTTTGAAAAGACAGCTGTATGATCAAAAGGTCCCCACTGCATGAAGACAAAGTAGCAAAAACTCCATCTGGTAAATCTAGGTTAGAAGGGGAAACAGCAGAATTCTAAAAAATTAAGAGTTAGTGACCCTTGGTGGGAGTCTTTGAGATTTGAGAGTGGGTATTTTAAAATGTCTAGAAGGAAATTTCATGGTTCACAGCCAGTAGTAAACTTATGAAGTTTCGAAGGAACTGTCTGAAAACATATTTAAAAATTTAATAAAACTATAACAAGTTTTATTAAATGTAGCCCAGAAGTACTTTAAAATTCTTTCTCAATTCTTTGAAGTTGACTCCCCAAATGTCCGCTACACGGTCCTACTATGAGTTAGAGAGTACTTGCCAGGATGAGTCATGATTTTGTGTTAGTATGTCATTTTGTGTAGAAGCAGGTCTTTTATTCGAAACGGTGGGGAACAGTTACAGAAATTCATTCATTCGTTCATTCTACAAATATTTACTGAGCAGCTACTCTGTGCCAGATACTCTTTTAGGTGGAGAGAGTATAGAACTAAACAAACAAACAAAGACAAACATTCAAGCTCTCATGGGCTTTACATTCTGGAGGGAAGAAAAATTATGTCATTTGATGGTAAATGTTACAAAGAAAATAAAGCAAGACAGGGAGGTGGCACTAATGCAGTGTGTGACATTTACAATGGGATTGTCAGGGCAGAACTCACTGAGACGGTGACATTTGAAAAGAGACCTGAAGGCAGTGAGGACTGAGCCAGGAGGGTATCTGGGGGATTACACTGCAGGCAGAAGGAACATCTATTACGAAAGCTTTGAGGCAGAAACTTTCTGAAAAATTTGAAGAATGCTACGGAGGCTAGTATACCTGGAGTGGAGAAAATGCAAGACAGAATAGGCAGAGGGGCCTACTGAGGTCAGAGAGGTAACAGAGGACTAGACAGTGAGGGGCATTATCTAGCATTTTAAAGGCTTTGGTTTTAATCCACGTGAGATTAACAGAGAGCCACTGTAGTGATCTGATCAGAGAAGTGACATGATTTGGCTAGAAGGTTTACTTTATTTCCCGTGTTGAGACTAGACAAGTTAGAGAAGTCAGGAGGAATGATAAAAGAAGAGAGATAAATTGAAAGGGTTTGTAATAATCTAGTAAAGAAATAATGGTGGCTTGGACTAGAGTCGTAGCAATGATGGAGAGATACAGTCAGACACAAAATATATTTGGAAGGTACAGTAAAAAGAAATTTTAATAAAATAAATATGCGGTGTAAGAGAAAGAATCATGAATGCCTTTAAGGTTTTTTACTTGACAAACTGGAGTTATGGAGATGCTGTTTAATGACAGGAATATTGTGGAAGATGTGGTTATTGCAGGGAGATCAGGGGTTCAATCTGACGTGTTAACATTGAGATGTCTATCAGATATATAAATGGAAATGTCCAATGGCAAATTTTTCTTTGAGCCTGGAGTTCAGGGAAGAAGTCTGGGCTATAAACTGGGGTTCATCAGCAATAAATGTTATGTAAAGACTTGAAACTGGACATGATCAACAAGGGGACAAATGTAGATAAAGAGCTGCAAGAACTGGATCTACGTTTGGATATGGAAAGATATGGTGGGAAAAACAAAAAAGATTAAGATAGCATAAGAGTGAATAAAGAAAAAACCAGGAGAGTGCATTGCTTGAAGGCCATGTGAGAGAAGTATTTTAAAGAGCAGTAGTGACCAACCACATTAATGCTGCTAACAGGGCAAGTAAGATCCCACACAGAACTGACCATTGAGTCTAGCAACATGACAGTGGTAAGAACTGATTTACTCAAGAGTTATGAGGGCTAAGGCCTGATTTGAATGGTTTGAAGAGCCTGGAAGGAGAGGAATTGGACACAAGGTATGTTGCTATTTTGCTGTAAGGACCAGCAGAGAAATAGGGCAATAATTTGAAAGAATTGTGGGATATGAAGATTTTTAAATTAGAAGAAATTCAGTACATTTGTATACTGTTGGGAATGATACTGTAAAGAAGAAAAATTTTATGATGTGGAAGAAAGAGGTAGAATTGCTGGAACCATGTTTTCCAGTAGGTCAGAGGAAAAGGTAACTAGCTGAGAGTGAACACATTGGGCTTACATAGAAACACAGGTAATTGAACTATACTAAGGATAGAAGATAAGTATATGAACACAAAAGCATGTACGTGGCTAGATATGGTGGTGGAGATCATTTGTAAAACAGCATATATGAGCAAATATAACAAATACAAGATTTTGGTCACTAGCAATGAAGAAAAGTCACTACAGTACTCCACTAAAATATGAGTGGCTGAATTTACCAGACTGTGATCCATATATGTGTGCATTTTTTCTTCTTGAGTATTTCTATATTGACAATTAATATGCATATTGTTTGCAGAATCTATCTACAATAAACATTTGTGTTTGGAAGGGAAGCAACTGAATCTGGAAATATATGACCCTTGCTCTCAAGTAAGTAAAAAAGAAAAACAAAAAACTTTTTTTTTTAAATGATGATTTGAAGATTGGATAAGAGTAAGTGAAAAGTTGTCAGTCTTAAAACTGAAGCTTCTTTTCAATTATTAGAATTTTAAGATTTATTTTTAGTGTTATAACTTCCATTATCTGGTAAAATTATGGCAAAAATTATCACATTACAAATAAAAGAGTAATATTAGGCTGAATTACTAATGTATTTCTATCAGGTCACAGGGCAGCTATCAGAAGTTAATAGCTTAATGGCTTATCAGTTCAGTTTATATTGTTACTAAACTGTGTTTGTAACTAG